CTGCGGGCCTCATCGGGTCACCCCGAGGATGGCAACGGGCTCCCCACCTCAGGTCCCCTCCAATCACCCTCCCCCCTGCTCGGAAACTTCGGTCTCCCCCAGACCCACAGCTTAGCCTCTGCACCCCATCTTCCCGGGTCCTTCTCTGCCCCTGAGTCCTGCCCCACAGGACTTTGGAAGAGCTGGCACTCCCGCACCCCCAGCAGAGGGGGACCCCGAGGCCCCCAGTGGAGGCTGACCGTGCAGGCTGGGCCTCAGCCATAAACCCTGTGACTGCCCCCCTGGACAGCAGGCCCTGGAGGTGCCCTGCAGGGCGGGGAGGGGCCGGAGGGAGGGAAACCAGAGGGAACGTCTGGCCTAGAGCCCCTAGGGGCTTGGTGCCCCCCAGCCTTTCCCTCTTGGGGTCCCCATGGCTCCCTTAGAGGTTATTCATCCCCAGGTGAGCCGGGGCCCCTCCCCACCTGCCATTCCTTCCTACTGGCTATCTCCCCGAGGTCTCCACACACCCCGCACGTCCAAGCTCAACTCAGTGACACCCCCCCCTCCGCCCACAAGGCTGACCCCTCCCAGGTTCCCACCTCTCCCCTCCTGGGGAGTTCTGGAGGCCTGTCCCTTTGCCCCTGCAGCACCCAGGCTGCAGCTTCCCCCTCCTCACTGCCCCCCACCCCCAGCTGGCATCTCCCCCTTCTCCACGTCCCAGCTGGGCCTCCTTCCCAAATGCTGATCTGACGGCACCTGTGCTGGCATGGGCTCGCCCGGGGACACCCCACGGGGGAGGCGGGGCACCACTCGGAGCTCTCCCTCCTGCTGGCCCTGCCTCTGCTCTTGCCCTCAGCCTCTGAGGCTCATCTTTCAGACTCAAGTTCAAGTTCGCTTCCTGAGCTTCCCTGGACAGTGGGGTGGGGCTTGCCCTGTGGGGTGTCTCCCTGGCATAAGACACCCAGTGGGGTACAGACACGCCCAGGAAGGCACTGCTGAAGGGGGGTGGGCCGGGAGGGGGGCTGGACCAGTGCCAGGGCAGTCGGGAGGGCAAGGGGGTGGTGGCCAGGTTCCCAGCAGCCACGGCTCCCATGCCCACACCCTCTGCCACCCCGCCCACTGCCCACCTGCTCGCTCGGGGCCATCTCTGTGCCTGGCTCACCCCTCACAGCTGCCTCACTGCACGGATGAGTGACAGCCAGCATCCCGGTGCCCGCCGTGGACCCTCCCCCGGGCTGCCTGGGCGGGACCCACGCTGCCCACCAGTGAGGGGCACCCCTTGAGTTGTGGGGCGCGGGTGCTGCCCAGGCACCCCTGCCCTCTCCTGAGCTCCCGGCGGGGCCCAGTCTCTGCGCTCGGGGGCTGCTCTAAGCCGAGGTGGTGGGGGGTGCGTGCTGTCCCCCAGCCCCGGAAGCCAGGCTGGGTGGCCTCTCTGGGGCTCGGGCCCCCCCACACCCCGTCCCTTCACGCGTGGGCTCTGTGGTCACTTGAGGCGCCGGTTGCTCTGCAGATGTCCACCTTGGCGTACAAGACCCCAGGGCGGGGGGCACGGGAGGGGACTGGACACCTTGATGGTCACAAGGAGACAGGGGCCCCCTGCTCCGGCTGGGTGACCAGCCCAGCTCCCCAGGCCTCCCAGCCAGCTCCTGCCCGTGGTGTCCAGGGTACAATGGCCAGGAGGGTGCCCTGCAGGTCTCAAGGGGGAAGTTCCCCACTTCTGGCCTGGCCCGCAGGCCGGTCCTCCCTTGGGCTCCGGCCCCCCAGCTGAGCCCCGAAGCTCTTTCCAGAAGGCTGAAAAGCTTTCAGCGCCGAGAAGCAGGTGGGGTGGCCGTGAGCTGCCTGCAGGGGGCAGAGTCGAGACGGGACCGAGGCCTGATGCCCCCTCTGGAGCCACCACAGGGCAGGGGAGGAAGGAGGTTGGGACAGCGGGGAGGGCCAGACCAGGCCCGGGACTGGCACCATCGAAGCCTTGGTGGAGACTGGGGGGCTGCGGAGGAAGGAGAGGAGGGGCCCGGTAGGCGGTAGACGTGTTCAGCAGGGGTAGCCCCTGAACTTGGGGAGCCCAACTGAGGACAGGGGGCCATAGCCGGCCCGTTGGGGTCTGTGCACACTCGTGTACCTGGTGGGGCGAGGCGCCACGCTGGAGCGTGACACAGGGAGGGGGGGGTGCAGAGCCCATTCAGCAGCCCCTGGGGCTGAACCCTGGGCGCGCCCGGAGCCAGAGCAGACGCAGGAAAGAGATAATTGCATTTGTGCAGGAACACCAAATCCCTCGCAGCTGCGCACGGGCTGAGCCAGGGCCACGGGCGGGCCGGCCAGCCGACGCCAGCATCCTGACAGCTCCGCCGAGCGTGCCAAGGGGTCTGGGCCGCCGGCCGGGGGCGCCTTTCCCAGGCCAGAGGCCCCCACCCCACCCCAGGAGAGCCGCCCCCCTCTCAGTTCCCAGAACGAAACCCAGCTGTGGAACAGTGAGGGGGTGAGGTCATGGGAGGGGCCAGGAGGGGCGGCATTACTCACATCCTGGGGCAGGCGGGCGGGAAGGGAGGAGGCCCAGAGGAAAGGGGCTGCGCCGGCTCCGTCCTTGGGCCGCCGGGTCAGGGGCTGGGGGCCAGCGCAGCCTCTCCCAGTGTGGGGCTCTGGCGAGACCCCTACCCTGCTACCCTGCTCTGGCCCCCCTGAGCTCCCTGCCCCTGAGGGCTCAGGGGTCACATGCAGACGGCAGGGAGCAGGGGTGGCCCTTGCAGGGGCCAGCTCCTCAGGAGTAATGTTCTCAGAAAACATGCCTTGGCCTCTGGCCAGGCGCGTTGTCAGGACGACGGCAGGAAAACACTAAACAGAGTGCTGGGGCCCCCTGGACGGCCCGGGGCCTGGGCTGCCACCTTGCCCTCACCTTGCTCCCCTGCCCGACTCTGTCAGCACATGGGCGTCCGTGTGCACACGTGTGTGCACAAGTGTGCCTGGTGGGGGGCGTTGGGACCCATGCGTGGAGTGTGGGTGTGTGCGCCCACGTGGGCCTGAGTGTTGGGCTCAGGAGAAAGTGTGTACGTACACGTGTGCATTCCTGCCACGTGTGCGTGTGAGTATGTGTTGGTGTGTGTGTGTGTGTGTGTGTGCCAGGGAGGCCCACTGTGCATTGCGCGGTTGAGTTTAGGCCTGCGTGGGGCTTTGCTGGCCGGGACACATCGCCCTACCGGTGGGCTGACCAGGCCGTGTGGCCTCTGCACTCAGCTGTACCAGTGAAGGGTCCCCGGGGCTTGGGGGAGGGGCCTGGGGGGCAGGAGCTATCGTCCTGAGAGAGGCCCAACCTGGCCCACCCACACATCCCACTGGGGCCCGTGTACACACCCCCACACATTGGCCAAAAAAATCCCAAACGCCCAACGCAGCCACAGGCGTGTGCCGCTTCGACATGGCAGTGAAAGGGATGCAGTGCCGGTCTCACCCCTTGGAGGAATCCCCCCGGGCGCCCCCAGGCTGCCCCAGGAGAGGCTGTGGGCACCTTCTTTCCCCCCACTGCCCTGCTAGGCTTCTGTCCTCCATCTGGAGGGGCTGTTGGTGCTCATGTGGGGAGGAGCCCTGGACCCTAGGTCCCCAACATCCCCGAGATCACCCCAGGCTCTTCCTCCCCAGACAGGACGTGGCCCCCAGCCCCCAGCCGAGGGCCTGGAGCAGGACGCTGATGGGAGCCAGGTGTGGGGGATTAAGTGGCTCCCTGGGGCCCGGGTGGGGAGGGGGTGGGAGTCAAAGTCGCTTCTGAGGAGCGGCACGGGGCGGGGGGCGGACAGGGGGTGCCGAGGGCTGAGCAGGCGGTTCGGTTTGCGTGGCTGGGGTCCCGTGTGGCTGCCGCGGGGGGAGTGGGCCTCGAGCTGGGGCTATGGAGGGGCCTGGCTTTTGTCTGGGAGGCTCCGAGGAGACCTAGGAGAGATTAGATCATGTGCTGGCACGGCTGCCGGGACCACAGAGCCGGCCCACCCTGGCCAGGGGACGGGGGCCCTGAAGGAGCGGGCTGCGGGGTCAGGTGGGGGACACGGCAGGAAGGGGCTGAGACCCCAGCTCGGGGCAGTGAGCGCTGTAGAACGGAGACCCAGGACCCCTCTCCCGGGCTCTGGGGGAGCTGGAGTGGGCAGGCCGTGCCAGCTGGCCGAGACCTGCGGTGCCCACCAGATGCCAACAGCCTGAGATCTGCTGGGCCAGGGCCAGGGTCGTCTGGCCCCGGACCCCCGGTCTCAGGCCGACCTTGTGTAGACCCGAGGGAGGAACCCCAGGAAGTGTGGGAGTGAGGTCCCTTGAGCCTGACTCTGCGTGGGCCTCCGTTTCCCCATTGACGGCACAACCCGGAGAGACTCTGCACAGGGGCCGGGGGCGGGGGTGGTGTTGGGTGAGCTGAGAGGTCAGGTCCCGGCTGAAGGCAAGCCCTTTTCGGGTCCTCCAGCAGGGCCGCCGTCTCCCACAGCGCTGTGCTCCTGTGGGGCAGGAAGGATCGCCCCTGCTGGGATGGTCGCGTTAGGGGCGTGGCTGCCCAGCTGGGCCGCCTCTGGCCTGACCTCAGCCCAGGCCACCAGCGCCCAAGTGGCCGAGGCTACAGTCACTTGACTCAGGTAGAACGAACGAGTGACCCCAGCTGTCCGGCGGCCACAGCCAGCTCTCCGCACCTCAGCCGGCTCTTCCTGTACCCTCTGGGCCCTGCCTGGGGCCAAAGCTACACTAGCCAGTGTCCTGGCTCTCATGAGGTCCAGGGATCCAGCCTGCTGGAAGGGGATGGAGGGTCTGGTCCCATCCTTGGGGTTTCCCCAGGCCTGTCTGACCCAGGGGCCCCCACATCACCAGGAGGCACGTGGACGCCCAGAGACCAACAGCACCCTGGGACCTCCCCCAACCCGAGCACCCCTTCCCGACCACCCCTCAAGATCTCTGTTCTAAAGATGGGGAAACTGAGGCCTAGAGAGGCCTTGCTGGGGCCTGCTCGGACGGGGGAAGTGGGGTACGGGCCCCGGTGTTGACTCTTTCTCTGTGTCCCTCAGGCTCGCCACTCAGTGGACCGTGGAAGGAGAGGAGGGTGCCGCCTTGGGGCAGCGCCAGCAGGAGAGGGCCTGGCAGCTTCGGGCCCAGGATGAGGGCGAAGGAGGCCAGTCCCTGGAGCAGCTAGAGCAGGAGAAGCTGTAAGCCGACACTGCCAGCTCACTTGTCCTGCGCCCCTGGGCAGAGGGCTCCCCCGGGGGTCAGGCCCTGGGCTGGAGGCCCCAGAGCAGCTGAGACGAGGAGTGGGGGGCCCAGCCCTGGAACCCGGGCCGGGGGGTGGGGGTGTCCTTAGGGTGTGGGTCATCACCCAGGTGCCAGCGGAGTCTGCCGGACACCTGGCCGGAGATGTGTGGAGCCACCCCCTACCGGCCAGCCTCCCGGGGTCCTGACTCCGGCCCTGGTCACCCTGCATGGTCCCCCTTGCTTGGACTGACTCTGAGCGCAGCTGTGGGGCCCTGGCCCCCGAGCCCCTTGCCCTAGTCCTTGCCATCTGTGACTCACTGAGGCCACATCCAACTTGGCGGGCCGAGGGCCGGCTTGTTCCCTCCCGGGGCCCGGGAGGCCTCTGTAGCTGGGCTGGGCTGTTTTTCCAATAACGTTCCCCCTCCCCCAGGCCCTGTTTTGTTCCATTTTCTCCGAGTCAGCAGCTCTGGGTGGAGTGGGGTGCTGTAGCGGTCAAGGCCCCTCGGGCCAGGTCCCTAGCCTAGCAGGCAGGGGCTGGGGGCAGGCAGGGACCACTGGACCACAGGCCCGCCGTGGGGGACAGGGTGCAGGGCTCAGGCGGGAGAGCAGAGGGAAACTCGGCCCTGACCCGCGGGGACCGTAGGTAGCAGGGGAGAGACACAGCCCAGCATTTGGGGAGCCCCAGGCTGAGCGGGGAGACGTAGCCCTGTTCTTGGGGAGCCCTGGCTTAATAGGGTGTGGCCCAGTCTTGGCCTCAGGTAGCTCCAGTCTGTGGGGGAGGCACAGTCCTGCCCTCAGGGATTCTCTGACAATGGGGGGGCCTCGGCCCGGCCGTGGGGTGCTGCCCCTGGGGCAGATGGGGTCTCCCGCACTTGGAGCCCAGGGTGTGAGAGAGGGAGGCGCTGTGGACGGGGTGGGGGTGGGGGGTCAGCCCCCTGCCCAGCATCTGGCCCAGCCCTGAGAACGTGCCTGCTCTTTCAGCCTCAGCCCGAAGCCCTCGGAGGGCCCTGAACTGGACGAGGACGAGGGTTTCGGCGACTGGTCCCAGAAGCCGGAGCAGCGGCGGCAGCACTGCGGGGCTGGGGAGACCGCGGACGGTGGGGCCCCCCCTCGGGGCGAGAGTCCGGAGGGGGGGCAGGAGGAGGACAGGCAAGTGGGGGTCAGAGCGTGGAGGAGGGGTGCTCTGTCCAAGCCCCCTAACCTGTGTCCGAGCGGCTCCCTCCGCTCCCGCCACCCCAGTGGCCCCCCAAAATGCCCCCGTGGCCGTAGGGGGGGAAGGAGGAAGAGAACGAGACAGGAGGGCGGCGGCGGGGGTGCTGGTGCCGCGGGTGGGACGGGAGGAATCTCGTTGCTGGGCTCCCCAGGGCCCCGGCCTGTCCAGACCAGCTGCGGCCGCCGGGCGGTTACTCCATCAGCACATCTGCAGCCCACTGACGTCAGGGAGGCCCTGCGCCCCCGCCGCCGCCCCTTCCTCCCCCGGGGCAGCGAGCTCCATTCCCACGGAGGGGAGCAGGTATTTCCAGATGTGCGGCCGCCAGTCGGCCTGGGGGGACAAGCTTTCCAGATGTGCAGGCGCTCTGAACCAGGGCAGGCAGGGGGAGGGGCCCTGGGCTGGGGTCTGCTCTGGAGCCTCACCCACCCCCACCCCGGGGTCACAGGCCGGGGTCAGGGGCCCAGCTCCGCTCGGCAGCTCCAGGCTCGGGGCCCTGTAGCCTCGAGGGTCGCCGGAGCCCCTCTTGGCCACCTCCCGTCCCCTCCTAGGTCCCTGAAGCAGCCCCGAGCTCTCGCTAAGACCCCTCCCGTCACTCCACCACCCCTTCCCATCCACGCTCAGAGCCAGCTGCCTGGCCGGGACCCTGCTCCTGGCGTGGCCCTCTACCCACGGCCGCCCTCCAGGCCTCAGTTTCCCCCATCTGTCTCTGCGTTTCTGAGCTGGGGGCGGGGGGCAGGGGCAGCAGGGTGGCCCGTCCACTGGCGCTGGGATGGCTGCAGCCCTGCCGGTCCTGTTCCCTTTGTCCCCAACTGGCCGCCCAACAGCAGGGGGCACTATAGCTCTTCTGTGGACCCTCCTGCTCTCGCCAGGCCTCCCTGCCCCCCGCACCTGCCTGGCCTCCTGTAGCCCAGCTGAATGGGCCCTCTGTGAGCCTGCCGCTGGCTCGGACCCCGGCCCACCTTGGGTGGTGGTCTGGGTCTTGGCTGGCACGAACACCGAGGGGCCTGAAATCATGGAAAGTGCGAGAATTTCCCATCTTCTTCTCCAGGGTCAGTCCCGCTCCAGTGCAGAGTCGCGCAGGCTGCCAGCGGCTTGGCCTCCCCCGCGCCCCACAGCCAGCCTGGTCAGCCCTGCTCCTCGCGGCTGCGGCCCTCGCTGTGACCCCAGCCCTTGCCTTGTCCCTCAGTTGACCAGCCCCCAGACAAGCCTCAGACCCCACCTAGCTCCCACCTGCCGCCCAGGCCCGCTCGCCCCAACACGGAGCAGGCCAGGAGCAGGGGGCCCAGGTGGCCCCGGCCCCAGGAGGCCAGCCGGCAGGGACACCAACAAGCGAGACACGGGCCAGGGATGGTCCTGAGGGCCTGGAGCCTGGGCCTAGCCTCAGTGTGCGGGGATGGGGCGGTGGGCACTGGTCACATGGCCCTGGGGACAGAGGGCAGGCTCTGAGGTCCTTGGGCTCACTTCCCCAAAGAGGCCGGGGTCTTGAGATTCCTGGGCACTTAACTGGTCTGACCACCCATCTTACAGATGGGGAAACTGAGGCTTGGAAACGGGAAGGGACTCGAAGTGATCAAATGACCTTCGATCTCTTGGATTGCCTCCCCCTCCCCGCCACAGGCCCCGCCAGCACACCTTTGGGAGCCAGGGTGGCGACGAGCTGACCCCAGCCGGGGTCTGTCTGGAGGAGCTGCGTCTGAGCCCCGACTCAGAGCCCCAGGAGGGGCCGGGAACAGAGGACACAGAGCCCAAAGGCCCCGAGGGAGCCATCCAGGGCAGCCCAGGGCTGGCAGAGACCAAGGAGGTAGAGGATGAGCAGGTGCCGGCGGCTCCCCTAAGGGTCTGGGCACACCCTGGCCCCCGGGCTGCCTCTGTCTCTGCTTCCTGCATGCCCTGCGGGCCTCGTGGGATGGGCCCGGAGGGAGCCAGCACCCCCGCAGTCTCAGAGGGTGGTGGGGTTGGTGACCCCGCCTGATGGAACAACGCTTTCCCGGACTCACCAGCTCCTGCTGCCGAGAGTTCCAGAACCAGAGAATGGCAGGGCGGGAAAGGACCTGAGGCCCAGGGAGGGGAAGGTGTTTCCTTCAACCAGTCCCGGGTGGGGCAGGAGGGGTGCAAAGGGGGCGACCATTCAGACCCCGTAACCGCAGACGTTCTGTTCCCAGCACCAGAGATGCCAGCAGCGCAGGGCACCCAGCCCCTTGGTCTTGGAGGGGACGGACCCGGGCTCGCCTCCCCTGAGCCCCAGCACCAAAGTAGGTTAAGCCCCAAAGCCTAGTCCTCTGTCCCGGACTCATGACCAATGACAGTCCCAGAGAGGCAGCCACAGGGCAGCTCCAGGACAGGAGCACGGCCTCCTCCTTCTCTGCCAGGATGGCTCTCAGCAGAGCCTTGTGAAACGCATAAACTGGGCGATGGGGCTGGTGGGTGGGAGCAGCTGGGAGGGGTGGGCTGGGGGCCTTGCTCTGGCTTCGGAGGCTCAGTCTCCGCCCGCCCTCCACAGCTCAGCGACAGAACTGAGTCCCTGCACCGCTCCATTCAGAAGAGGTATGTCTGGTTGCTTCCCAGGCAGGACTCGGGGATCTCCAAGGGAGGGTTGAAGAGGGGACCCTACTGGAATGGAGATCTGGGGGCCCGAGAAAGCTCTGGTAGGAGCTCAGGGTGGGCATAGAAGCTGAGTGAGGGGGCCTGGGCCATGACCCTTCTCCTCTCCTCCAGTAACAGCATGAAGAAGTCCCAGCCAGCCCTGCCCATCTCCACGATTGAAGAGAGGCTGGAGCAGTACACGCAGGCCATCGAGGTGCGCACAGGCCCCTCCGCTTCTGCAGGGCCTCCTCCATTCGTGCACCCATTTCTCCAGCCAACCAATGTCTCTCCATCCAACCAACTCCTGTCCTTTCACCTGTACTCTTCCATCCAGCCAACACCCTTTATCCAACCAACCCACTCCATCCAACCAGGGTCCCTCCATTGATCCTACACGCCCCCACATCCAACTAACTAACACCCTTTTATTCAACTAACACTCTTCCATCCAATCTACACCCCTCCATCCAATCAACACTACTCCATCCAACCAACACCTTTCCATCCAACCAACACCCCTCCATCCTATCAAGGTCTTTCCATTCAGTCAATGTCCTTTCGTCCAACCACTATTTTTTGTTTGACCAATGTTCCTCTACACAACCAACACCACTCCCTCCAACCAACACCCCTCCATCCACTTTCATCCAATTAGCTCCCCTCCATCCAACCATCATTCCATCCAACCAACACCCTTCCGTTCAACCCCTGCTCCTCCGACCCTGTGCCAGGGGCAGCACGAGGACAGCCCCACATTTGTCTCATATCTCACCCATCACCTGTGCTCTGCAGAGCAAGGGGGGTGTTTCACAAGTACACCGAGGGGAGGAAGACACGTTTCTCCAGAGCGCCTTCTTCCAGCCCTGCGTTGGATAAGCAGTCCTGGGGGAATGCAACCATACAGAGGACATCATCTGTGTGCCGAAGCGGCTCACACAGGCCTCTCTGATGTGTTCCATGTGGCTGTCCAGTAAAGTGGTCCTGGGCTCTGTCTCCTCTGCAGACCTCTGGCCGGACCCCAAAGCTAGCCCGCCAGCCGTCCATCGAGCTGCCCAGCATGGCCGTGGCGAGCACCAAGAGTCGCTGGGAGACGGGAGAGGTGCAGGCTCAGTCCTCCGCCAAGTCCCCCGCCTGCAAGGTAGGCTCCCATCCCGGGGCACGGCTGGGCTCCCTCTGGAAGGCTAGCGTGAGACTGTCCAGGCTGAAGTATGGGCAGAGGGCACTGTGGTGCATGGGGGATGGGGTCTCTGCCAGGCTGGCTCCTGTGGAGGGCTGCGTGGGAAGGCTGCTGGGCCAGGTGAAGATGGACCATGTCACCTTCCCTTCCCGGCCTCTTCCCCTGGACTGTCACCCAAGGAGGCAGGTGTGCGGGCCCCGGGGCCTTGGCCCTGCGAGGCCAGGCAGGAGAAGTGACCAGGGCTCCAAGCCCCCACGTCAGGGCTCTGCCCCTGTGACGTGGCCGCTTTCTGCCCCCAGGATATTGTAGCTGGAGACCTGAGCAAGAGGAACCTCTGGGAGCAGAAAGGAGGCCCCAAGGCTTCAACGATGCTTAAGGTAGAGTCGGAATGTGACTGACGCGGGAGGGCGGGTCCAGCGGGTGAGGGGAAGGAGAGCTACCCTCAGCACACCTTGGGGGGCTTCCAAGAGGCAGCGCCATCTCCCTCTGCGCCTCTCACCTTTGCTCTCCACCTCCTTCCCCGACAGAGCACCCCGTCTGCGAAGAGGTACAAGTTTGTGGCCACTGGACACGGGAAGTACGAGAAAGTGCTCGTGGACGAGGGCTCGGCGCCCTAGGCCGTCCTTCTCGGTGAGTCGGGGGCGGCGGCCAGAGCACGACGTGTCGTGGGCAGAATTCGCTGCTCTGGGTGCGTGGTGGCAGGGACTGCGAGGTGACATGTGAGGGCTGAATGCCCGGCCTCAGAGCTGGCCACAGCCCGTCTCTGCTGGTCCTCCAGTCCACAGACTCGTGCCCCCTCCCACCCCACCATCCCCTGGTTCCTGCCCTGCTCCCGTAGCCCACAGGGAAGCGCAGACTCCCTGCTGGGAGGAGGCCCCCATCTCCCAGCCGGGCTCCTCGGGCAGGTGAGCCCAGCCCGGCCACCACAGGGTGAGCGTGGCAGGAGGGGGTTGACACGGAGCCCCGGGAGCTCAGGTTCCCACCTGGCAGTGGGCTGTGAGGGTTTCAAAGGAGCCAGAACCTTGTCCTCACCCTCCTGCCCCAGTGAGGAGCCGCTCCCGTTTCCACCGCCCACCCCGGCACCTGGTGAAGAGTCAGAAAGGTGATCCGCTGCCATGGTTACGGTTACGCACACTTTTATTAGCGGCCTGGGTCCCAGGATCTGTTTACAGCATCCATCATGTCCCCTCCTGACGGCTTCCTCCCCTTCTGAGTCCTGCTCCGGGGGCTGCGGCTGGAGCTTCCCCCCAGCACCTCCGTGTCCCCCTCGTATCACGGCTGCCCCGTCTGGGCCCCAGCTCTTGTCCCGAGTCAGACCCCAGCTGAGTGCAGACTGGGGGTCCCCATCGCTGCCCCCTCTGGGCCACAGCCCCCCCCCCCCCGCCACTTGGCCAGGCTGACTTCGGACCTCCCTCCTCATCCAGCATCTAGGCTGAGACCCCACCCCTCTGTCTCCCATCAGCGAGTCCCCCTCAAGCTCTGCACCCAGGCGGGGGGAGCAGAGGTGACAGTGAAGGGGCAGGGGTGTGGGGCCAGCTCCCACCCGGGCCTGGACCTGGCTCCCCGCACCTGTCAGGCCTCCGTCCTTGGGAGGCGCGGCTGTCAAGCCGCCGATGCAGCTAACGGAGCCCACGGTGCCTGCGACTGAGTCACCCCAACCACTCCCACTCCGCACGACAGCGTAACTCGTCCCCCCAACCTTTCTCGGCAGAAGGGCGGGGGCCCCAGAATCCTGCTCATCCTGTCAATCATCAGGGCTCATCACCCAGAGCATGTGGGGCTCAGCTGGGCCCTGATCCCCGCCTGCAGCTTCCCTGGACCCAGGCAGGCCCTCCCAGGTCTCGCTGGTGACCACCTCCTGCACTCCTGCCGCAAGCCCCGTGAGGACACTCAGGCCGGCCCTGCCCTGCAGGGTCACGCATGCAGCCCCAGCCTCAGAGCAGACTTGTGTTCGGTCTGTCTCCCCAGAAGTTCACCCCAGAAGTCCCCACCCCCCACCCCAATGCAGAGCCCTCCCTGCCCCTCCACACCATCCAAACCCGCCGCCTCCTTAATCCCAGCCGCTCCCGGCCGCGTCCCACCTCCCACCACAGTCCTTTGTGGCTGCGGCTTCCCAGCTGGACCCTCAGCCCCTCTTCTGTCCACCCCACGGTCCTGGGGTCCCCCCCGGCCATTCACTGGAGCCTCCAGCCAGCTGCCGAACGATTGAAGTTCTTGGGCTGGGGGCTCAGGGCCGGGATGGGGTAGCGCATGGGAGGGGGCTGGGCGGCCACCTCCTGCAGTTTCCGGGCGTTGAAGCGAGGCCAGCAAAGGAAGGGCAGGCGGCTGAGGCCAGGCGGGGCGCGCACCCCATCCCGGGGCCCCACCTGGCCGCCACGGGGCTCTGCCACTGACATGCGGCACAGCACTGCGTCCCACATCCTGGAGGGCCGTGAGGCGGGGGCCGGCCGGGGCGCCGAGTCAGTGGGGGCTGCCCCTCCCAGCCCCGCGTGCCCCGGGCTCGGCTCCGGCCCCGGGAGGGGGGCCTCTTCCAGCAGCTGCTTCGTGAGGCGTGTCCAGCCGCTGAGCTGGGGCTTGGGCGCGACTCTGGGGACAGGGCACGGGCGGGGGCCTGACGGTGGGGCAGGGGCTGAGGCCTCTCGGGGGCTGGAGGCCTGCTCAGCTTCGGCGGCAGGGCCGGCCGGGGCGGGGTCCTCCCGGTACCCAGCTTCGGGGGCCACGGAGGCCGGCCTGTAAGGTGAGGGTCCCGGTGAGCGGTAGGTGGGGGCAATGGACACCACCACCCGGCTGCTGGCCTCTCTGGGCCCCGAGGCCTGGAAGCCGGGGGCCGGCCTGGGCACAGAGGGCTCGCCGTGCCGAGGGCTGGCAGCCTGGGCCCTGGCGGGCAGTGAGTGGATGCGGACCACAGGCAGCAGGGGCTGAGCCCTGGGAGGGCAGATGGCTGTGCCCTGGGACCGGTCGCCAGGCCCACCATCCGGGGCCATTGGGAAGGGCTCAGGGGTCCCGGCCTGTGGGGACGGTGCCTGGCGGAAGTGCACCTGGCTGATGTGGGTGCCCCTCACGGTGGGGCCTGAGACCTGGGCAAAGCCGCAGGGGGACTGGGCGGGTTCTGGCACCGGGGCTGTGAGCCGGGGCCCCGTGGGCTTGGAGTGTGAAGCCAGGCTCCTGAGCTGGGTGAGGCTGGTGGAGAACGTGGACCTCTGCAGGGGGGACGCCACGTGGTGGATGACGTGGGTGTGGGGGGAGCAGGGCAGGGTGGCCACCGCCCGTGGCGCCTCCGCGAGCCGCGGGGCCGGGGTCTCCTGGTCATGGCCGGCCTCGCTCACGGGGGATAAGGACGTGCGGAAAGGCCCGGGCGGGGCAGGCGGCCCGGCCCTGCTCGTCCTCTTCCGGGCTGCCTTCCTCAGGAGCTTCTGCAGACGCAGGTTGTCCTTCCCGGGCTTGGGCAGCAGCGGTGGGGGGGGTCCCGGGGGCCCCGGGGGGCACCGGCCAGCCATCTCAGGGGCCACGGAAGCAGCCGAGGTGAGCATCGCTGCACCCTAGGGTGGGCGGGAGGGACAGCCGTGGGCCCAACCCTCCTCCCCACAGGCCGCCTCCCTGCGGGAGGGCACACAGCCCCTAGTCACGCAGAGGACCCAGGCCCAGAGGGCCTGCAGCCTGACCGTCAGAAGCTCTGCTCCCTCAGCACGTGGCCCCTGCCACGCGCGCTCCAGGCATGAGCGTTTGCACGCCCATGGGGCGGCCCCACCATCATTCCGCTTTAGAAACGAGCCCACGGAGGCCCGAGGTGCTCTGTGGGTGACGGAGGAGGGCTGGGACCTGGCTCCGGGTGCCGCCCGTGTGCACAGTGGGGGCCAGGAGACGCACAGGCGGGCGCCAAGCGGGGGGCACGTGCTGGGCCGGCCGCCTGCGAGGGCAGGAAGAGTGCCCGCCCGCAAGCGTGAGGGCCGCCTTGCTGTCGCCGGCCTGACCACAGGCGCGTCCGCTGCGAGCCAGCGGAGAGGTGGCGGCCAGAGGCTCGGGAAGGCTGCGGCTGTGTCATCAGAGGTAGACGGGGTGGGAGGTGGGAGCGGTTTTCGCTGAGCTACGCTAAACGGGATGTTCCCGCAGACGTCCCGGCGGGGTGGTCCCGGCCAAGCCGCCCGCCCTGGTTTCTGGGCACCACGTGCTCCCGAGGACGTTGACAAATGGCGGCTGGGCCGAGCCAGGGCCGCCGGCCTGGGGGAGGAGGGAGGCCTGGGGGCTGCTGCCATGAGGCCGGCTCTGTCAGGCAGGAGCGCGTCGTCTGCTCGGGGAGGGGCCCGAGGGGTCTGCTGGGGCTCGCTCTGGGCTGCTGCCCACCTCGGTGAGGGGGGGCCGGGACCCCAGGGTTAGGCTGGGGGCTGTCAGGCCAGCTGGCAAACAGGCAGTAGGCAGCGTCCCTCCACCCTGAATCCCGAGCAGGGCCCAGGGCACCAGAGCGCGGTATCAGGAAGCAGGCTTCCAGGCCGGAGGTGAACACAGGGTTTCGGGGGCTGTCGCAGGGAGGCTGCTCCTCCTGGGCTGGGGGGAGCGGGGTGGGATGGGCAGGCCAGGGACCCCCAGAGAGAGGCTGCAGGCCCGGACAGGCAGAGCCACGGCCCCTCCTCGGACTGCAGCCTGATGCTCCTCCGACCTGTGTTTCAGCTTTCCCAAGGCTGCAGCACCGCCGGCGGCACCTCCTGGCTCCCGACCCACGTGCCCGGGGGAGAGGCCGGCCAGATGAACGCCCCCCCGCCCCCCACTGGCCCCGCCGAAGAAGCTGCTTCTCATGGTCTGCCTGGCCCGCGTGCACCCCCGACATCCGTCACCTCTTGCTCCTGGACCCTCCAACCTTTCCCTCTGACCCCCAGCTCTGCCCCTCACAGTTCCGGGAGGAAAGGAACTCTGGCTGTTGGTTGGCAAAAGGACCACCTCCAGAGAAGCTGCAAGCTCCCAGGGAAGGCGCAGCCGGTGCAGAGAGAGGCCACGTGCTGGGGCCTCCGTGTCCAAAGCCACCAGCACCCGCAACAGCACTGGGCCCCCCGCCCCGCCCCGCTTGCAGCCCTCCACTTTGTGCAGTAAACTCCCTTTGGTGTCTCCACGTGCTGGCTCTCTGGGGCTCACTGACGGGGGAGGGGCAGGGAGCAGGGCCCATCGGAAAGGCCATCCGCCCTGCACAGTGGTAGGGCCCAGGCCTCTGGCCTTCAGATTTGGACACTGTCCTGTCCAGTGGCCTTCTGTGTGCTAGGCTCTGGGGTCTCTGAGGGTAGTCAGGGTGAATGTGATGGGTGGGGGCTCAGTCGTCCTCTTCCACTGTGGTACTTGCCCCTTGACTGGCCCCTTATAAACTCTACAGCCCCTGAAACACTGTGCCCTTCTGGTCTATGCCCCTAGACTGTGCACCCTTTGAGTACAAGACCCATCTTGGGGTCATCCCTTCCCAGCACCCAGGAGGTGCTCAGTGAAGATTTGGTGGATGGATGGATGAGTGGATGATGGATGATGGCTGGATGCAGGGATGGAGGAAAGGACGGATAGGTAGGTGACTGGATGGCTGGATGGATGGGTGGATGGTCAGGTGGTTGGATAGATGGATGGAAAGATGGATGGATGACTGGATGGAGGCATGGATGGATGGATGGATGGATGGGTGGATGGTGGATGGGTGGAAGGATGGATGGATGGGTGGATGGTGGGATGGGTGGAAGGATGGATTGGTGTATAAATAGAAAGAGAGGTGTTGAATCCTTGGGTGATGGGTGGGTAGTTAAAGAACAGGTGGATGGGTGGGTCTGCAGAAGGGATGAGAGGTCAATGTGCAGAGAGTAGACAGGAGAAGAGATGGAGAGGCAGTCAGATCAACGCCTGCTTCACAGGACGGTGGGTGGATGGCTGGTGGGCGGGTGGACACTCGGTGGGGGTGGATGGATGGGCGATGGACGGGGGAAGGCAGGAGGGAAGGAGGGAGGGAGGGAAACAGACAGTGACGGCGAGGATGTACCTGTGAAAATGGAGGTGCAGTGGGTGGATGGACACGCGTGTGAAGGCGGGGACAAGGTGGGGCTGTCCTCCCGAGCCCACCCCCCACGCCCGGCCTGTGCACAGGTCTAACATGAGGCCCTGCTGCCCTCGGAGTCAGGGGAGCCCCTTCGAAGAGCAGGCCCTCTAGACCTTTGGCATTCGAGGCCTGGGTCTGCTCAGAACCTGTTTTCCAAAGTCTTCGTGGTCAAACTCTTGCTGCCTCCCAAGGGGAGCGTGAACACGGACAGCTCGGAGGTGTTAGAAATCAACTATGTCACGCCTTTGTCGCCCGTGGCCCACTTCTGAGGGTGCATCAGGGCTGTGCTCTGCCAGCTGGGGAGCTTCTCCCAGGGGACGCGCCCCTCCTGTCCACCTGGCTGGGTGGGACGTTAGCCGAGGGCAGCAGGCAGAGGCAGCCACATGGCCCACTGGACGGCCAGAGGGGACCAGAGTGGATGGCACTGAGGGGCGAGTGGCGGGTAGGGTGGGCAGTGCCAGGAGAGCAGCCAGCCACTCAGCCCTGATCCAGCACAGCCCCTCTCGGGCTCCTTGGCACTTGGCCCGGCCTCGGGGACAAGGACACAGGGTCTGTCTCCTCTGCGGTGGTGACAACCGGCCCCTGCCTTGCAGAACCTGGGGGTCAGGGCCTGCCCACCACAGAGGTGGAGAGGCTCAGGGGAGCCATTGCCCGGGTGCTGGCCCTCTGCCCTCCGTTCTGACTGCCTGAGAGGCCCCGCCAGGCACCCTTCTGCTCCCCTCCTGCAGGCACTGGATGCCAGCCCCGCACAGAGCAAAACTATTACAACTCCCGCAGAAGCCCGCAGGGCGTGTGGAGCAGCAGCAGCGCAGGCTGGGAAAGGCTCATCCCCGAAGTGCTGTGTCAGCAGCTTCTATCTGGGGCCTGGCAGAGCCCGAGCCCGTGGGCCGGGCTGACCGGGAGCTTGGCTGGCACTGGCGCGGGCACCCAGGTCAGCTCAGGGCTACCAGGCGAGGTTCGAGGTTCAAGGTCCCCGGGCCTCGCCACCCTCAACCGTGCACACTGCGGGCCAGGACCAAGATTGAGGGACCCCTGCCCTTCCCCACCACCCTGAGGGTCGCCCCTGCAGAAACCTACAGCCAAATCTTTGGGGGGACCGGGCCCCCACGGCCTCCCCACTGCTCCCCGGCTCAGCCCAGCTTTGCGGACTTGAGAAGCCCACCCCACTCCTACTGTCTCCGGGTGGAGGCCCCGCCCCAGCAGCCCTCAAATCCTTCCTGGGGTTGAGACCAGTCCCGTGCCTCCACCCCAGGTCTCCAGCCCCCTCCAGCCCCTCGGGGCGGCCCTGCCCTGCCCCCCTCTCCTCCCACCCCAGCCTGGCCTGGCCAGGTGGACCGGGGTGTGGATTACCTGTCGCAGGCCCTCGGCGGCCAGCAGCCCGTCCAGCAGTGCCTGCTCGAGGCTGTCCTGTGGCACCACGGGCCTGGTACCCCGAGGGGTAGGTTGCCGATACCCAAAATAAAATCTGCTCCATCCCTCTGACCTCAGCGCCCTCTCTCTGGCTCAGCTCGCTCACGGGACACTGAGCAGACAGCCACCTTCCTCTGCTGGCCGAGCAGGGCCACTGCAGGGCCATGGAGTGCCCACCTGTGGGTGCAGCCCCCAAGAGCACCCCAGGCCCGTGGGAGGTGTGGCCGGCAGCTCCCAGGAGCGAGACACCCACAGTCGGCGGGACTGGGTGCACAGGGGCTTCCCAGACTCAGCGCTGCCTGCTGCGCCCTCCCCACGCGCGCACCTGCCACCGCGGGGGCGGGGGTGGTGTGTCACTCTAGCAGAGTGAGGGGACCCAGCCCTGGAAGGGCTGTCGGCTCCCACCGTGAGGGCAAGCTGGGCCAGGGCGGCCCCAGCAGCCGCTCGGGGGCCTTTTGCAGAAGTGGCTCTACAGCTGACCCCACAGGACAGACAGTTGGTCAGAATCAGCCGAGGGTCGGGCACGCGTGTGGCCCGTCAAACGCGCTCCCATCCGAGGACATGGACAGGAGGAGGAATTCAGAGTTCCGACAAGGGAGGCGGGAACGGCCCCAGCAGCTCTGGCCTTCGGGGGCTTCCCGCCCCCAGGAGCTCTGGGGAGGGGCTCTGTCCTGCCCACTGGGGGCCCAGGGCTCTGGCTCCCCTTGCTGTGGACGGTGGGCCCACCCTGCCTATCTCGGGTCCCCGTAGCCTTGTCTCCAATGTGTAGAAATTGGATGAGGTGCTGAGAGAAACCTTCCAGAAGGCTCTGGGGACCCAGAGTGGGGCGCAGAGCCAGGGGAAGCCCGGGCTGGGGTGTGAGAGCCAGTCGTCCTGACGCCCCTAAGCCTCCAGAAGGCAGGCGCTTCATCTGAGTCTCCTTGGGGCCAAGCCCTGTCCCGCGCTCCAGCCCACCAGCCGTTGCTCTGGATCAGGTCAGCATCCATGGCCCCCGCCATCCGTGACCGACCAGCCCCTCGCCTGGAGCCTTCCACGTTTGGAAGGAGGCTTGGGGCTTCTCTTCCCTACTCTGTGTCTCAGTTTCCCTGATTCGAGGCGGGGGGCGTAGGAGCTCGTGGCCTCACTGGCCAGCGTGGGGACCATGGAAAGCCCCGGGTGAGGTGTCTGCCGGTTGGATGGTGCCACCTGGAGTCCCGAGCAAAGAAAGACTGGGCTCCACGGGCGAACGGTGGAGCCTGCTGTGGGCAGCACCCTGAGCCTGGCCCGTGGCGAGAGAGAGGCCTGCAGGGTCAGGACCCCCACAGAGTGAGCTCCCGGGCAGACCTCAGAGGTGTGGCCCCTAGCGTTGGGAGGCACCAGCCACTGGGGAGATGCCAGACCCCCCAGTCAGACTTGAGTTAGTATTTCTGTTGCCCATTTATGCTGTATGTCCTAACGCCATCACGCAGAGAACCACTCAGTGGGGCTCGGACCTGCTGAGGGCCTGGCCGAAGACTCACAGGGTCTTCCACTCCTTGGGGGTCTCAGGGACCTCCTGCCGCTGCCTCTGATGGGGAGGCGGAGGGGGCCTGGGGCCTGCGTAATGCAAACTGGCTGGGCAGACGCCTTTCCTGGGCAGACACCTCGGAGGGAGGGGCAGCTCCCCCGGGGAAGATGGGGCCCCAGCTCTGGGGACCCCACACCAGCCTGGCCCAAGGAGAGCCCTCAGCTTCCTCCCTAGGGCCACCCAATGCCCTCCTTCACCCGCCTCCTCCCGTGAAGAATGTGCCCACTGTCAGAGAGTAAAAATAGAAGCTGACACTTCCTGGGGGAGGAGGGCGGCCCTTGTCTCCTTCCCCCCCATCCTCGCCTCCTTGGGCCCCCTCCTCTGTTCTTGCTATACTTGGTAAGGGGCCTCAAGGCACAGCCCCTTCCCTCCCGTCCCACGCACCCGGGCCACACAGCCCCTGGCCAATGGGCTGCCGGGAAAGATCGAATGTCACTATAACATGAGAGCATGCGGTGAGCGGGCAGTGCCTGAGCCGGTCCTGTCCGCAGGGAGCTCCTGCCCATCTCTCCAGACCCAGCCGCAGGTCAGTACGTCTGAGAGCAGCCCCGGGACCGGGCCGGCCTGCTGTGTGCCGGTGGGCCTGGGTGCGTCCTGGGGTCCCGGGTGCAGGACGCTGTGCCTCCCTAGCCTTTAAGCATGGCGTCCTGGAGACCCAGGAAGCCACTGCAGGGTCCCAACGGTCTGGGGTGCTAGCATCGCAGGGTGACGTTCTCTGAACATCAGAGGCAGAGGAAGCCCTTCCAGACCAGAGTACAGGGGCAGGGGAGGCCCAAGAAGGAGGAAGGAGGGGGTTCCCTGGAAGGCCCGGGGGTGAGCGGGTGGTCCCAAGGCAGACGGCTAGACAACGGTGACGATTCGAGGTGAAGAAGCCGGGAAGGGGCGCTGCCCAGGGCTTCGAGGCCACCTGCTGCGGTGCGGCCGCCCTCCCCGCCCCGGCCTTTCCACGGGGCTCTGCTAAGCTGAGGGGCGCCTCGGCCAGCTTCTCCCAGGAGGCTGGAGCCCTCAGCCCAGCGGCCACCGCCTCTAACGCCGCCGTCTGTAAAGACGACAGCTACGACGGTGGCTGGTGGGGTTCACCACAGGAGTGGGTCTGTGGGGAGGGGTGGCGGGGACCCCAGCAGCCCAGGGGGCAGTGTCCGGAGGCCAAGGCCTGGAATGGACGGGGCCTGGGCTGGGGGGTGCAGAGGGAGGAGTGGGGAGCTGGGCGTCTGTCCTGTCTGCCCAAGGAAGACGTGTCCCACCTCAGCCTGGACGTGAGGAGCACGAACTCCCAGGAGGCCCCTCCTGTCCTTCCTGTGCCCCCTCGAACCAGGGCTCAGCTGACCCTCCTGACGTCACGGGACGGGGCGCCTTCACCGGGCAGCAGCCTCTCTGGTGCCCTCAATCATTCTGGGAGGAGATGGGATGTCGGGGAGGGGGCGAGGGTCAGGGAACAGGGTCAGGGCCCACAGCAAGCGAGCGGCAGGGCCTCCTGCCTCCCCGCCCCCATCTTGTCACTTGGGAAGGAAGGAAGGAGAGGGTGTCCCCAAGGAGCGGTGACCTCAGAGGCTGTTTTCACAATGGCCCCTCTGGGGGCAGGACATTAAATGGACAACTGGTTTCCTTCTCAGCTGTCGAAATGCCACCCTGCCCCCAAGCACACCGCACCCTGGGCCCCTCTCAGGGGGAGGGCGGGTGGGACAGAGCAGCCCGTGGTGTCAGCCCCAGGGCTTTGCTGGGAAGAAAAGGAGCCCAGAGCGGCCTCAGTTTCCCTCTTTAGAGGGTATGGCACCCTGCCTGGGTATGCGGGAGCCCGCCTGCACACCCCCTGGGACTCTGGTCCAGAAGACAAGAGGGCCAGCCCCGGGGACCGGCGGGGGGTCGGCAGGGGCAGGGACGCAGGCCGAGACCTGAGCGGGGGCTGCCTTCCCAGTCCCCCCTCCCATCGTCTTGGGTTTCTGGGCAGAGGTGTCTTGGCTAATTTGGGTGCCTATTTCTGGACGTCTCAGCTGCCACTGGCTCCTTAAAAATAACCCATCCCTGGACTCAGGCCACGACCACCCCTTTTCAAGGCGGCTGACAGGTGTCGGGCCCTGCCAGGGGGAGAGGTGGGCACAGTAAGGCGAGGACAGGGGCCTGGGTGGGGCGGGGGCCCGACACCCAGGGGCAGGGCCCACCAGGAGGGTTTGGGCCAAGGGACCGTGAGACCCCAGCTGTAGACCGAGCGAGAGGCTGTAACCTGAGGGGGCAGCAGAGCCCCGGGAAGGGACCTCAGGATGCGAGAAAGCTGCTCGGCTTCCTGGAGGGCTTAGCAGAGACCCATCCGTTGGTTAATTTTGCATGGAGCTTAAATTGCTCTGGGAAAATTAACATTCTTGACAGAGGCTTTGGAAAACTGTTCCCACCTTAGCAATGCGATGTAAACGCATTTTTAGATGATGAACTTGTGTTTTTCTTATGCAAACCTCCCGGGGCGGGGGGCCATAACTGTTGTCTTCAAGTAAGCTGTAGCAAGTTGTCCTGAGCTCTGCTTTTCGAAACCCGGGGCCAACATTCTGATGCAGCTGCTCCGAGCGTCCCCAGGCCCGGCTGCCTCAGGCCTGTGCGGCGGCCAGCTCACGGATAGACGGTCCCCGAGAGCGCTGGCCCGGTGCCGGCCACACCTGGACACGTGCAGCCAGGCCCGGGTACAGGCTTCCCCGCAGACGTTGACACGTTCAAGGGCATCCACAGGGCCTGGGAAAGCAGGCTGAGGGAGGGACGGGGCCGTCCACTCAGTTCTTGGAGGCCATGTGCACCTGGCACAGGCACCAGGCTGAGGGGCCCCCACAGAGAAACAGCCCAGACCCCGTCCTCACGAGCCGGGGCTCAGTCTGCTGTCTGCTGGGGCAAGGGGGAGACGGGGGTGCGTGTGGGGGAACAGAATGTCTCGTGCACGCTTGTGATTCTGGAAGAGGGCTCTGCAGAGGGCCATGGGAGACCCCAGGGGATCCCTGGGCACCCCCATAAGAGGACACGGGGTCCTCACGGGAAACCGTCAGTCAGAGAAGGGAGCCTGGGCTCACGCCTGAGGAGGGGGCCTTGTGGGGATGGCGGGCGGAAAGGCCAGGGAAGGTCCAAGGTTCCCACTCGGAGGTGCCAAGCTCTGTAATTTGGGGGCTCCCTGGGAGCCCCCCCATCTAGGCCTGAGAGCAGAGAGCACCGAGAGGGAGGCTTTGAGGCCACAGCAGCACCACGGCTCCGCCGTGCAGAGCAGCCCGCGGGCCCCCGCCCCCGCCCCCCGCCGGCCTGGACGAGCTGCGTGCATCCTGGATGACCCTCCTCGGGGAATGCTATAGAGAGGATGTCTGCCCTGCCACGACCTTCCAGCATCCCGTCCAGCTCCGGGAGTCCAAGCTCCAGGCTGGAGCCAGGGCAGGAAGGGGGGCGGAATGGGATCAGATCAGGGGCGAAGAGGGCTGGGGGGCCTGGAGCCCTGGAGGAAGCCAGGCGGCCTGCTGGGGAGGCCCCGAGCGCAGGAGCCGCCCGCCCAAGGCCGGAGAGTTGGCCCAAGACCCCTGTTGACGGGCGTCCCCTTGCAGCCCCACTCCAAGGGCCCATCCCCCACCCATTCCAGCCCCTCTAGGTCAAGGCAATTCGTAATCCTCGCCCCGGTCTCCCTCCACCCCTGCAGAAACCACCCACCCACCATGTCTGACGAGGAAGTGTGAGTACCCGCCCTGCCTCGGGACCCCTGGACCTTGGCTGTGCTCAGAGGTCAGAGGACCCCCCGCCGAGAGCCCCCCCCCCCCCCCCCCCCCTCCCCCCCTCTCCCCCACAGTGAACACGTCGAGGGTAAGTGTGGAAGCCAGACTGTCTCTGCATCGGCCTCTAGACAGAAAGTCCAGGTGGGGAGGGCCTCGCCAGCCGCTGCTGGCGCCTCTCCCGGGGAGCCCCCGTTGGAAGCCGCGTCCGATCGCCCCCTCTGCGAATGGGCTCCCACTCCTGCCCTGCACCTCTTCTCAAAGGCCAGGGCCCTGGGCCCAGTCCCTGAGCCACCCGGCCTGCACTACAGGCTCGTCTGGGCAGCGGGGCCGCCCTCCCAGGATAGGACCTGGGCCTCCGCAGCCCAGACCCCTCCCCGGGAGCCACAGTCATCGCCAGAGCCTCTTCCTCCTCCCGGGCCCCTCTCTGGCCAGCCGGAGTTGCGTGGCAGTGGGCGACGGGGCAGGCGGGCGCCACCCTCCTCGCCTCCCAGGCTGGCCCGCAGCGCGCCCTCTAGCGGGCCCCCCTCCTTTGTTCTACCCCTGGCAGAGCAGAGGAGCAGAGAGGGAAGGTAACCAAGGCAGCCCCGGAAGTGCCCTCGCCCCACCCCCTGGCGTCCCCCCGCCCCACATGTCCACTCTCGTCCCCAGGGGGCCTCCAGTCCCCCCCCACAGACTCACCAAGTAACTGCCCACCTTCCTCATCCTTAATCCCCACTTGCCATCACCCCTAACTGCCCACCTCGTTACTCGATTAATAGGAAGCACTCATTGATCCCTCATTAATACCTTTTGCATTGTTATGTATTATTTATACATGATAACCTCATCCACGGTGTCCATGGTGTGTGGAGTTACCTGGGATTTGGTTGTGAAGACACTCACCTCATTAATAGCAAGTCTGGGTGTGTGGGCCCTGCCTGCCTCTCCACAGCTCTGCCTCTCTCTGTCTCTGCCTGTGTCTCTGTCTCTCTGTCTCTCTCTGTTTCTCCCAGCATCCTCCCCCTCCCCCCTCCCTCTGGGAGCAGGAACCTCCAGGCAGATCTGGAGACCCCTCCCTAGCCAAAGTCTGTGGGAGCCTCCTGGTGGGCCGTGCCCAGGCAGGCGTGGGAGCGGAGCCACGGCCCCTGGGAAGGGTGCGCACGGGTGGTTCTCAGGCCCGACGGGCGCTTGTGCGCGGCCGCTGGCACCCGCTCAACCGCGGGAAGGCTTTCCCGAACTCCACCAGGCAGGCTTCTCCTGTGGGGCGTTCTGGGCGCTAGGTTTTGAAAATATTTTGAAAACACTTGGCTGCCCTAACAACGTAAGCAAAACATTTCTTTTTCTGCTGAAAAGGTAGAAAGACTCCTTTCTGAGAGGGAGCCATGGTCCCGGGTGCCACCCTTCGCCAGGGAAGGCGATGGGGCCGGGGGGACAGGTCCCCCGAGCTGGGTCCTCTAAGACCTGCCTTGGCCGCCCGCTTTCAGGCCCATATCTCCTGGGCTTGTCCCATAACACCTTCAGAGTCAGTCTTAGCGAGACCCTCTGGTGCATAGGCACCGCAGTCCAGAGCAGGCTCCCCGCGGATGGGGAAGGGGCTCGGAGACCCCCAGGGCCGGAAGGAGGTCACACTGCAGAGGCGAGGCCGAGGCCTGAGCTCTCTGAGGTCCTGCAGGCCCTCGAAGCAGGGCCAGCCTCCCCCCGTCCCTGGAGCGCCTGCTGCCCACCACCCTCCCCCGCACCTGGGACTGCCTCCCTTCCCTGCCCCCACCACGTGGCCCCTAACAGCTGTCCTGTTCCCTCTCTCCCTCCTGCACCCTCTGGCTCCCTCCTCAGAAGAGGCCCAGGAGGAAGGTAAGTGGGGTCCGGACCCCAGCCCCCCGCCCGCCCTCCAGCCCTCTGCCCCCCGACCTCAGTGACCCTGCGTGCCCCCGCCGCCTAAGGACGTGCAGTGTGCTCCTGGCCTAACCTCTCCTCTCTCCTCCTGTCACCACACACCCAGCGCCCCCCTCGCCTGCAGAAGCCCATGAGGTCCACGAGGAAGGTACGAGGACACAGGGCTTCTGGCCACATGGGGCGCCCGGGGCTGGCTGGGGCGCGCAGCGGGGGGAGGAGGGGAACAGTCAGGCGCCAGCCAGCCAAGGGGCCCCCACATGTGGCCCCAGCGTAACCCATTAACCACGGCCAGTGCTTGACCAGATAGGGAGCCCCGAGGGCCCGCACCCCCAAACGTGGGCAGGGTGGCAGACGGGGTCCTCCACCCCCCGGCCCAGGGAGGGCTGGTCAGTGGGGGGACTGCTGGACCAGATGTAGACCTAGCTGCCCCAGAGACAGCCCTGAAGCCAGCCTTCCACCCCAGGGTGGGTACCTCAGAGCCCCGCAGCGCCTGACCCCTCGGCAGGGCCAGGGACCCGGGCTGGATCTCGGTGAGCACAGGGCAATGGCGGAGCAGGCCCTGCGGTCAGCGCCCTGAGCTGGGCCCGTCAGCCCCCCGCTGGAGCCCTTGTCACTCCCCAGCCGTGCTTGGATCCTTGGTCAGAGCAGCTGAGGGCTGGCACCTGCTGCCCAAGCACCCTGGCAGGCGTGTCCCCCACTCTCGGGCTGGTAGGAAGCTTCCTGGGCTACAGGCCCCCAGCCCCTGGTGCCATCCCGCCAGGTCACAGCCCTGCCCCTGCATGGAAGTCCTTCTGGGGGGCCTGAAGAAGGCGGGAAGAGGGGAGGCGGCAGAGGCAGGCAGGGCCCCGACAGCCCCGTGCCCAGCAGCGAAGTCCTGACAGGAGCAGAGAGGGGGGCTGGAAACTCCGAGGAGAGGCAGGGACGGGACCTGGGGGGACGCTGCCCCGGGCCAGCACTGCCCTTGTCTCGCTCACTCCCCGCACCCTCCCCACCCCTCGGCCTCGGCCACTGACCCTCCCATGGCCACCGGCTGTCTCCATTAACCTTGGATCCTTTCTCCTTTGACCTATGACCCATGCATGGCCTCTTGTTCCATGGCCTCCTTAGTCCATGAAGTTCATGAACCAGGTATGTGCCATGACTTCAGTCTCGTGTGGGTGCGTGTGCACACGTGCCCGTGTGCGGGTGTGAGCTGCCTCCCGGCCGCGAAGGAACGAGAGGGGCCGCGTAACCTACTCACCGTGTGTTCTGCTCGCCTGCTGCTCCCCTCCCCTCAGCCTCTGCCCCAAGGTTCACAGCTGGTTCTCTCTCTTCCCCCCCTTTCCCCCCACGGTGCCGCTTTTGCAGAGGAAGTCCAGGAAGGTAGGTTCGCCCCCGACCCCAGTCCCCGTACCGGGGCCTGAGCCCCCACCACTTCTTCCTCCTTCCCTGCATGACTCTCGCTGCCATTCCTGCTGGGGACAGGGTGGGGACAGTCAGGCCTGCGGCGCTGGCTCAGGTGGGACTGGCTGCCGGGAAGCAGGCAGAGGGCCTTCAGGGCTGGGGGGACGAGGCCGTTCCCGGGTCACCGGCAGGCAGATGGAGGCGGTCAGCCTCGAGGTCAAGAGCAGAGCAGAGTGTAGGGCCTGAGAGGGGTGTGGGCCTCGGGAGGGTTGTGCTGGGGTCCACTGGGACCCTCGGGATCCACCAGGGTTTGGTGGGGAAGAGCAGAGGAGGAGAGGCAGGGCAGGTGGCCTCCGCCCTGCCCCAGATAGCAGGGCAGAGAGGGGAAGTAAGGCGGGGGCTAAAGGAAGGGTGGAGAGGCAAGTGGGGTGAAGCAGAAAGTCAGGCTGAGGCTGAGGTGGGGATGTCGGGGACCCGGAACAGCTGGGGGCCTTGCGTGCAAACGAGCAATCAGTCAGGTCCCGGCATCCCACCCATCGCCTGGGCCGGAGCCAGACACACCCAGGCGCGAGGAGGCCCTCTGGGTGGGCCTGCCCTACCCGCAGCGGGGCTGGCCGTACCCCGGGGTGGAGGTGACGGCGGTGCGGGCTCAAGTCAGCGCCCTAGTCGGGCAGCCCCTGCCTTCACACAATGTCTCAGGGGGCCACAGGGGGCCTCCCGGCTGGGCCAGAACCCGGAGCACAGCGAGGCCACCTGTAAGAGAAAGGGACGTGCCGGCCCTGAGGGTCGGGTAGTGAATGCTGAGCCTTGCAGGAACCAGCGTGCAGGCAAGGGCTGTGGTGGTCACAAGGTCACCAGGTCACCCTGGAACCAGCCCTGAGGCCAACAGACAGACAGACAGGGCTGGGGATGCCTGGCCGCTGCCCGCTTGCCTGCTGCCTGGGGAGCTTTGCTGCATGGCACCTGGCCTCCCCCCATACCCTCCCCTGGCGTCTGCTCCCAAAGCGCCGTCTCCCTCAGTCTCCCCAAGCTCATAGCCCCCCACCAGGTGCGGGGGGGAAGTGACGTCAGGCCCACCTGAAAACTGAGTAGTGCCGGGGGCTGGGGGCGCTCTTTGTGGGAGTGGGGTTGGGTGCTAAGGAACCGTGCGATCTGTGAGCTGAGGGGGATGTGAGGGGAGACCCTGCCAAAGGCCCTCCCACCCCCAACAGGCCTGGGGCCAGACCAAGTGCAGGGGGCTGTTGGCGGTTCAGACAGGCTGACGGCCAGGCGTCATTGCCACCAAAGGGCCCAGGGCAGGGACTGAAGGATGGGGCTAGGGTGCTGCCAGCCCCCCTGCAGATCCCGGGCTGCATCCAGGCTGGCCAGGGCCTCCCCAGGGCCCGGGGAGGCAGGGAGGGTCAAATGAAGCAGCCCCCCACGTGAGGGCGGCTGGGTTAGCCCAGCCAGGTGGGGTCTCAGGTCTGAAGGCTGCAGCCCGGACAGGCCACCTGTCATAAGGCCAGTCCTGTGAGATGGCCCGGCCAAGCTCTGGAAAAGAAGCCTCTTAAGGGGCTGGGACAGGCTCCCTTGGGAGTCAGGAGCCCCCACTTTGGGGCCGAGCTGACCCAAGGCCCTTCGGGGCTCTGCGTGAGCACCTTCGTGGCCTTGGGCTGGGACTGGAACTAGCCAGGCTTCTGCAGGTCTGAGGCCCCAAGAAGCTTTGTTAACGGAGTTGTTCCAGACCCCCTCAGGCTTCAGCCCAACCAAACCCAGGCGTTCGGTCCCCAGAACCGCTCACCCCCAGTGGAAAGACTCAAAGAAGCCAGCAGCCAGCACCCACAGGCCGCCAGTGGCCTCTCCAGCCACGGCCAGCCTCCTGGGGTGGGGCCGGGTCTCTCCTGGGGCATCCTGGCCGCACAGCTCCTCCAGCCCCTACCCAGACGCAAGTTCTCTGGCCTTCAGCTGGGGTCACAAACAGGGTCCAGGCCAACGCACACCCAGGGGAAGAGGGGTCGGGGTGTGCCCCCTGGCTGGCGTCTGCCCTGGGCCCTCACCCGTGCCCCTGCTCGCACCCCGACTCACCCCTGCAGCCCTGCCGCTTCCTCTTGCGTGTGCGCTTTCCTGAAGATGCCGAGGAAGGGTGGGAGGGTGAGGCAGGTGAGGCCCCTGGCCGCACGCAGCTCGTCCACACAGACCCGCAGACGCGCCTGCCCGCCTGTCTGTCCTCTTCTCCCAGCACCGGGGCCTCCAAAGGCCAGGCCTTGCTGCTTCGCTCTGCGTCTGCCTCGGGACTTAGCACTGCCTGACACCATGATGGGGCGGTCAGTGGGGAACGGCCAGCAGACTGGAGCCTGGGCAGGGGAATGCTCCCCCCACTCCCGGTCTTTGCCCCCCCCCCCCCCCCCCCACCGCCATCTCTGGTCTTTCTCTCCTGCCTCTGCCCCCTGAGGATGCTCTATGTCTGAGCTCCGTTTTCCCTTCTCCCGCCAGTGTCCTGGGCCCCGCACCCAAGCTCCCCTCCTCAGACCCCACAGGGACCTCCGTGGGCCCAGAGTGGGGGCAAGACCCCCTTTGCCCCTGGTGGGGTCTTTGCCCCCAGCCTGAGGCCCCCAGGGACCCGTTGGCCGGAGTGCGCTGTCCATCTCACTTGGTCTCTCTCCCCTCTCCCCTCTCCCCACGCCGGTGCCCTGCTGACCAGAGGAGAAGCCAAGACTCAAGTGAGTGTGGGGTGGGCAGGGATGGACGTCGGGCGGGCGGGGCGGGCAGGGTGAGGCCTGGAGCCCATGCTTGGAGGAGAAGCCCAGGCGGGCAGGCTGGACGGGGCCCGAGGCCACCTGCGGAACCAGGTGCCCCAGGGCTGGGCTCCGGGCCCCCCGAGGAAGGCAGCAAAGTGCATTAGGCTCTGGAGACCCAACCCCCTGAGAGCAGCAGCCGTTTCTTTGCTCCTTGGTTTGGTGTTGAAGGCTCCAGATTTCTGCTGAGGCATCATGGGAATGGGGTCACTGGGGACAGCCCCCCCCCCACACACAGGTGGGGGTCAGACCTCCCAGAGACGGGCAGAGACAGACTCTGGAAGTCCATTCGGGCGTGGTTCTGCCCCGGATCATCCAGTGTTGGCAAGGAGGACTTCCTGCAGGAGGAGACAATGGACGGAGGGAGGAAGGGGTGCAGGAAGTTGGGGAAGACAGGGCAGAGAGAGGGAGACCCCACGCAGCTCCCTGTGCCCTCTCCGGCCCCCCTGTACCGGCCTGCTGCCCTCCATCTCCCAGGGCCCTAGATGTGAAATAGGCGTGAAAGTGGGGCGGTGGGAAGGAGGGTCTCACCCCTGAAATCCACTTGGGAACAAAACCTTGACCGCAGCCACGATCCCTCCCTTCACGGGGGCCTCGACCCTCTCTGGGGAACCATCTTCCTTGCTCGAAGGGACTTTCTTTCCCTCGTTTTGCCCACATGTCAGTGAGTGGTTCAGAGATGTTTTGTTTTAATCCGACTTTCCTGACTTTTCTGTTTCTGATAAGTACGTACGAACCCACGGCACTTTGCACATGCTTCATCCCCCTTATCCTTCAGAGGATTCATGCCTGCCTTTGCTCTGCACGGGATGGAATGTCAGCGCGTGTGAGCACACGCCAAGTGTTCGCTCCCACTTAGGGGAGCCTTACGGACTCTCCAAAGAAGACTGGAAATATGTGAACGAATAGCCAGCACATTTCCGTCCGTTACACTTTATTTTTCAGCAGTTTTAAAGAAAGCTGCCGGGTCACAAGATATTTTCTAGTTTTAAAAAAATGTTTGTGTTTTCGTTATGAAAATAAAACACCTCATTAAAGAAAATTTGGAAAATACGTAAAAGTCCAATGAAAAAAAATCATCTATAACTCTCCCACCCCGCCTGCCAGACTGCGGAAAAGAGTAGAAAGGAATAAAAAGGCCTTATTTCTTCCTACTCTTTTTCCATGCATAGGGCTCGGAAAAAAAGACTGAAACTGAGCTGTTTTTCAAACATCGTCCTGTCTATACAGCCTTGAATTCTGCTTTTTTAAAAAATGCAGCGCTGTTTCTAAGTATTTTTCCATGTTTTTACATAGTCTTCTTAAATATTTTGAATGGCCACATAATATTCCATCAATTGAACAAACCATAATTTTGCTAACCATTCCTCTATTGCAGGATATTAAGGCTTTCCCCAATATTTTACTATCATAAATAACGCTGGGTGGAAAGCATTTTCTGTCTTTCGGGTTATTTCCCTAGGCCTCATTCCCGGAATGGAATTACTGGGTCAAAGAGTAGGAACGTTCTTAAGGCTTTTGATATCGTCTGCCAAACGGCTTCCACGAGGGCCGCCAGCGCGGTCTCCACGCCGCATGCCCGGGGACCGCGACGTGCCTGCACACGGAGCCTCTGACGGATGGATGAGAAACGGCCTCTCTGGGTTGTTTTCCTTCGCATTCCTTTGATGGCCTTTCCCTCGTGTGTTGACTGGTGGTCTTTCTTCTTGGGGAGCTGCTAGCTTACGCTCTCTGCCCATTTATCTAACGGCGGGGGTGTCTCTGTGTTTTCTTAATCGTCAGTTTGCATAAGGATATAAGTCTTCTCTGTATTTGCTGAAAAGATTTTTCTAGTCTGGTTTTTCTTTCCCCCCTTTTGCGTTGTGTCTTTTTCCATGTCCATAAGTTTTTCATTTGCATGGAGTTCCCGAGCAGGACCTTCCGAGCTTAGAAAATCCTTTCCTGCGCCAGCACCCCGGTCCATATTCAGTTCCACTTTCTTCTTTTTTGAAGAAACTGTTGTTGTTCTTGTTGATTTAACTCTTTGCTCCATCTGAAATGTATTCAGGGGAGGGTGGAGACCATGACTGTTACAGCCGGCCGGATTCAGGGAGAGGTCTCATTTCTTCTTCGCACTGCTTTCTGCCCAGCCCCCCTTCCTCTGGGTCCCCAGAAAGAAAGATCAAAGAGAGGCCAGAGAAACGCAAAGGGTCATCCGAGACAGCCGTTCCTGACCGCAGAGGCCAAAGGCCCTGGGAGGGTGTGCGGTGACCACCCTGCCCTCTGGTCTGACCTCGCCACATTTGTTTATTTGTTTGAGAAAGAAAGCTAGGCTACCCTTCCTGGACAGAGGGGGGTGAAACAGCTCTTGCGAGGTCCAGAAGTTGGCAAAACAGCGGGATGCTTGAAACCTCCTCGAAGGGTCAAGCCATTCTGGGGACAGTGGGTTATATGTGTGATAAGAGCAAAGGTCAGGCAGTGTGTCCTCAGCCAGGTGCCAGGCTGAAAGGAGGGCGGGCCAGGCCAGGTTGGGTCAGGCCAGCTGTCCTGGTGGGGTCCCCACTCGTCTCCACTCATGAGCCTCTCTCTCTTCTTCAGACTCACTGCTCCTAAGATCCCGGAAGGGGAGAAAGTAGACTTCGATGTAAGTTTCCGGGACCCAGGTCAACACACCCTCCCCACAGCCCCCAGCTTTCAGGCTGCAGGCTAAGCCTGAGGAGGTCACCTCCTCTAGAGCAGCCAGAGCTAAGGCTCCCTGGTTCCATGCAATTCTGCTTTAATTCATTCCTGGACCAGAAGAAACTCCTCCAGTAATAGATACTTTTCTTCCCTCCTCCCCCACCCATCCATCCATCTGTGCATCCATCCATCTGTCCGTTTCTCCATCCGTCTGTATCCTTCATCCCTCCATTCATCAGTCCGTCCATCCATCGCTCACCCATCCATTTATCCATCCATCCATCCATCCACTCAACCAGATACTCGCCCACCGATCTACACATCCATGCTTTCCTCCACCCACCCACCCACCCACCTATCCATCCATCCTCCACCCACCCAACCATCTATCCATCCATCCATCCATCCATGCACTCAACCAGATACTCGCCCACCGATCTACACATCCATGCTTTCCTCCACCCACCCACCCACCCACCTATCCATCCATCCTCCGCCCACCCAACCATCTATCCATCCATCCATCCATCTGTGCATCCACCCATCTGTCCTTTCCTCCAACCATCTATAGCCTTCATCCATCCATTCATCTATCTGTCCATCCGTTTATCTACCCATCCATTCACCCACCCATCCATCTGTGTATCCAACAGACTACCTCACTCCCCAATTTCCTCTCTGCCCGATCCACGCAGGGCACCTCTGGGCATGACAATGGGGCCATGTCAGGGCCAGTCCGCCCTGGGGGGCGCTGACTGACCTCAGGGCCGCGCCCGGCCTGGACTCACCACGGGGAGGGCACCGCTCCTACCCTGTGGCTAAGGGAGCAGGCAGCCGCCGGCCCCCAGGAGGGCCAGGGAGCCCGGAGTTCCGGAGGAGGGCTGGGGGTGACGGGCCTGTCCCACACAGGACATCCAGAAGAAGCGGCAGAACAAAGACCTCATGGAGTTGCAGGCTCTCATCGACAGCCACTTCGAGGCCCGGAAGAAGGAGGAAGAGGAGCTGGTCGCGCTCAAGGAGAGAATCGTGAGTGCCGGAAGCTGTGGGCGGGCGCGGGCCCGGGGTGGCCAGGCCGCAGTGACCCGGCCCTCGTCCGGCTGCAGGAGAAGCGCCGTGCGGAGAGAGCTGAACAGCAGAGGATCCGGGCCGAGAGGGAGAGGGAGCGCCAGAACAGGCTGGCGGTGAGGCACCCCCCGCCCCCAGCCCCTGGCCCCAGAAACGCCGGGCTCCCAGACCCCCCTTCTCCCGACGTTCCCCTTGACACTGGCCAAGGACCCGGGCCGGTGGCTAAGGTCCCCCCGCCCTGCAGGACCCCCGCGAGAGGGCTGACCCGACCAGGACCTGGACCTTCCAGAAGGTTCCAAGCCCAGGCAGTCCTCGATGCCTGCCCTGAAGTCTTGGGGCGGGGTCTCCGCAGGAGGAGAAAGCCCGGCGGGAGGAAGAGGACGCCAAGAGGAAGGCCGAGGACGACCTGAAGAAGAAGAAGGCCCTGTCCTCCATGGGCGTCAACTACAGCAGCTACCTGGCCAAGGTGAGCACGGGGCCTGTGGCCCGGGGGTCCCCGCCACGCCCTCAGGCCGGCCGTGCCACGCCCCCACTGTCGTGTCCCCTCAGGCTGACCAGAAGAGAGGCAAGAAGCAGACGGCCCGGGAGATGAAGAAGAAAGCCCTGGCCGAGCGGCGGAAGCCCCTCAACATCGACCACCTCAGCGAGGAGAAGCTCACGTGAGGACGCCCCTCAGGGTGTGGGGGGGCCCGGCCCCAGCCTCCCGGGGCTGACCTGCCAACCCTCCCTCTCTGCCGCTCCCTCCCCAGGGACAAGGCCAAGGAGCTCTGGGAAACCCTGTACCAGCTGGAGACCAACAAGTTTGAGTACGCGGAGAAGCTGAAGCGCCAGAAATACGAAGTGAGTGAAGCACCTCTGCCCTCATCTGCCAGCGGGCACCCCTGGACACCCCCGAGTCCCCTCGGACCCCGACGAGGCCCCTGTCCTGCGGTGGACCCTGCCTGGGTGTCCTCCAGGCCAGTCTCCCCACATCATTCTGGCTCCCAGGGCTGGCGAGAGGGAGCATTGGGGCAGAGTGCCCTCGGGGGGCTGGGGGGAGACCGTGGAAAGCCAGCAGTGTCCCAAGCCCACCAGGTTGGCACCAAGCTCCTCTGTGGTGGGGGTCCTCCCCAGTCCCCTCCCAGGCCCCCAAGCTCAGAGCTGGGGAGGGGGCTGGGACAGTGCCCCTCCCCCGGGGGTTGGGCGCCAGGAGTTGCCTGAGAGGGGCTCACGACTCAGGACGGCAGCCCTGGGTGGACACCGTCCCTCGGAGTCTGGGCCTGGAGGGTGGGGCTGGGGGCACCAGTCCTGGGGAAGGACCCGCTGCGTGAAGCACAGACCCTTCTGGCCTCCAGGGTCCCGGGGAGAGGACCTTCCACTCTCAGGGCACCTCTCCCAGCTTCCTCTACTGGCCCCTGAGATGGAGGGTGTGGGAGACCAGTACTGACAGGCAGGCAAGTCCTGCCTCCTTCTCAGGATCCCGGTGCCCTTGGGCGAGTTGCCTGGTCTTCCTGCGCCTCGATTTCCCCACCTCTAACTGGAGCAGGACCACGCCCATCCCAGGCCACCCCCAGGGGCATGTGTATCGCTGCCGGCCCGCAGGCAGGACCAGGTGCGGGGGCATCACGGCTCTCTGCTGATACTCCCCTGGGAGGGCCGGCCTTGGAAATGGGCTTCAGAGAGAGCCCAGAGCGGCCCTACTCCTGTCCAGGAGGCTGAGCCAGGGCCTGACAGACTGTGCATGGCCCATGATGGGTCCCCGGGTGCTAAAAGAACCACACGAGCCCTGGCCCAGAATAGCCCAGCGCACGGTGGGTGCCGAAGCCTCAACTACCCACCCAGCCCCCTAACCGTCTCGGTCTTTCTAGATCATGAACGTCCGGGCCAGAGTGGAGATGCTGGCCAAGTTGTAAGTAGCCGGAGTCCACCCTGGACCAGGCTCTGAGTGTTCATGCACGGTGGGCCTCTCGCATGGCGAAAACCTGGGTCGTTGCAGGTGTCGGCGGCAGGGGGCACGGAGACCCCGGAGGCCTTCCTCTTCTCCTCCCGCCTTCCTCCTCCCCCCTGCCTGCCACCTGGGGGCTGCTGAGGCTGACCTGCTGTCTTGGCTGGCAGCGGGGGCCGGGCCTTGCCTTCCCCCAGCCTCCCCCCGGGCAGTCGGCAGGAGAGAGCAGCTGGGCGGAGGACTGAGAGGCCGCAGGGCTCTGAGCTCGGGCCCACCAGGTAGGGGCTCTGTTTGCAAGCCTCACCTCCGCCCCGTGCCCCCTGCCCCACATCCCGCAGAGTCTGGAAGGTAAGTGGCAGCTCCTGGGCTGTTGTGTGTCATAGCCCAGGTCTCCAGCTCGGGCCATCAAGAGTAGGTCAGAGGCACAAGCCCAAGGGTCCTCCAACCAAAGGAGCCGGGACGCAGTAAGAGGGCCAAGACCTGCCAGGGCCGCCAAGGGGCCCACGGGGCAGGAGGCCACTCCCCGGCCTGGCCCTGCTTGGACGCGGCAGGTAAGTCGCCTGTGTTGTTTGCAGATTACCAACCTCAGGAGCCGCATCGACCAGGCCCAGAAGCAGTGAGTAGCTCTGCCTGTCCCTTGCTCTGCACGGGACACACGGCCGCACGGGTCAGCTGCCACGGGTGCGCCAGGGCCCTGGCTATTTCAGCCTGTGTCGGTGGCAGCCGGCCTTCAGCAGGGTAGTAACAGGACTAGCCAGACGGCCACCTGGGCCAGCATGTCGGGACCCTGCACCCCTGGACCCAGAGCCTCCTCTCAGCCCTAACCCCAGAGCCCAGAAGGATGGCAGCTTGGGGGAGGGCTGGCAGGAGCCCCCTGGGCAGCCTTCAGAGTGGCCTGGTGAAGCCAGACTGGGCTCCTGGACGTGCCAGCAGCGTGTCACTTCAAAGGTGACCTGGGACCAGGAATCAGGGGGCCTGGGCTTTGTCACTAGCTCCTCCGTGGCCCTGGGTGAAATCACTGGTTCCTCAGGACGGTGAACCCTCGGGGTCCATGGGACCCTTTACAATAACTGCTGGGTAAGGCCTGGAGAGGGATTTTGTCCCGGAGCCTGGTGGCCGAGATGGGGCACGCCCCAAGGTGGGCAGTGGGGCTGGTGAAGGAGACGGTCCCTCCTCCCTGCCTCTGTGCAGGGCAGGGGTTTTTGCAGGTCCCTTCGAGAGGGGGCCGTTTGGCCAGGTATGTGCATGAGCACGTGTGTGTGCGTGCGTGTGCATGGCTGGGAGGGTTCTCAGGCTGTGGGCACAGCCCCAGCGCCAGGCCTTCTCCTGAAGCCTTGGGAGCTGCAGGGCCCATTCCAGCCCCAAGTTGTCCAAAAAAGAGCTCTGATCACCAGCCCATCCTAATGCGGCCCCCAGCTCGCTCCTGGCTCACTGGCGTGCAGAGGGCTCAGCCAGATGGAGCCGGCTCCTAAGGACCACCGTCCGTTGGGGTGGGACCTCCCGACCCCAGGGTCCAGTTCTAACCAGCGGCTGATTCTGGAACGAGACCCTCCCTGCTGCCAAGTCCATCAGGCTGGGACTGCTGGCCTGGAGTGTAGGACCAGGATAGCCCACTGCCCCAGGAGGCTGTGACTCAGGGGGCAGAGACTCTTTTCAGGACAGAGTAACTGGGAAGGTGGCAGCTTCCCACGCGGGCTTGGGTCTGCTTGACGTAGGGCCCCAGAGTCTCCCTGCCGCCTGTGTCTCGAGCCCCTCGGGTGGGGAAGGGAGGGAGGGGGAGGGGGACCAGGCTCTCGCCAGCCCCCACTTAGCCTCACTGACTCCCTCTGCACAAAGCCGCCCAAGCCTGGCTAGGCAGGTACAGGGGAGTCACTGCTGCTGGATTGGAGCTGGGGGATGCGCTGGGGCTTCCAGAGCCGGACCGGGCAGAGCTGCCAGGGTCTGGGGTCTGCCAGGGGCCAGGGGAGGGGTTGGCCAGGGTCCCGGATACCCTCATGCTCAAGACCACCTTGCTTCCCATTTGTAGCAGCAAGAAGGCCGGGACCACGGCCAAGGGCAAAGTCGGCGGGCGCTGGAAGTAAAGCAGCCGAAGAAGTTCCCAGAGGCAGAGACCCTCAGCCTGTGGGGCCCACATGGAGGCATCCAGCTCCCGGGCACCTCCTGTGTCTCTGTCCTCGCTGCCCCCAGCCTCTGGGGTCTGTAAATAAAGCTAGCAGACTCCCCTCGGACAGGTGTGCCCTGGCTCATGGATGGGGCCCTGGGGGGGCGGTGGCCATTCTGCAGCTAGGGGGCCCGCAGGACCCTGGGCACTCATCTTAGGGGTCAGCTCAGGAGACCGCGGGGCCATGGCTCTACTGTGCCCTGAGCGCTATGCCCCGGACGCCCACCGGCTCTGCCAGTGGCTTCCACTTCTGTCAACGGGTTTTCACCCCTAGAACCTTCTGTCTCCACTCCGAGAGCCCACACACTGCTCAGTTCTCCACCCCAGCGCCCAGCCCCCCAGGTCAGCTCTGAAGCTGGTTTGGGGCAGTAGAGCTTGGCTTTTGCAGGGGGTCTGGGAGGCAGGCCCAGGGCACAGTGGGACACTTCACAAACGTCCCCCAGAGATGGGGCAGAAGGAGAGTCCAGAGCACGAGAGGTGCACACAGCCCCAGGAAAGGAGTGGAAAAGCACATTTCAGGGAGCAGACACAGCAAACACAGACCGTTCTTTCTGTATTATCTGAGAATACAGTGCTCACTGTGTAATAAGTCTGAAAGTCCTGACCAAATAGAATTACGGAAAATATAAATCACAAAAATTGGATCAAGACATAGGAGCTTGCACAGCCAAGTATCCACAGAGGAAGCTTCCGGAGTCTGGAACCGCCCCCTGGGAAGGCTCTGCAGAGTGGTGGAAAGTAGGGAGCATCCCCGATCAGCCTGCCATGGGGGCCGGGATCCCGACAACGAGGTCGCCCGCCCAGATGGCACATGCACGCACGTGGCACGCAACCCAACGCACACATCCATGCCCCCTCATGTACCCTCCCCCGCATATACATCCATAAATATGCGTGGACTGCGCCCCTCCCCACCCCCATGACAGGGCTGTTTGCAGTCGGTGTAAATGCTCTGAGCACAGCCACTGTGCCTTCCTGCAGTGATTCGAAGATGAGCACCTTCATGTAGTAAATGGTGGGGTCCATTGACCCCCTAGCACTGTCCCTCCACTCGCACAGAACTAACGGGACTAAAGCTGCCCTGGGGAGAGGTGGTCAGCACATGCGAGAAGCAGATTCAGCTCACCGAGATTGTACAGATTCAGAGCAATGTGCGCTGAGTCACACATGGCGGAAACCCAGGGAATGAACAAGTCCGGGATCTGAGTGGGAGATTTTCAAGCACATCTCATAGTCACAGAGAGGTCAGGAGGCTCTAAGTTGAGGGGGCAGGCATGTGAGGTTCAAAGAAAACAGTTAGGCTCGACTGATGGAGGTTGATGGACCACGGTTCCTCCAATCTGGAGCGGCGTGTGAAACATTTCAGAAGCAGATTATAGAGGAGGATTCAGAGCAAGTCTCAGGCTCTAATGGGAATGTCCCAGCCAACGATCTGCAGCCCAGTCAGAACCAAGGGCAGGTAGCTTATTAGCGGACGTTTAGAAATGCAAAAACACACTGAATAGATGAGGAATCACAGAGGAAATTGGGATGGGACTTGGGAAGCACCTTGGAGCTGAGCGATAATGCGGGACCAGAGCAGAACTTGGTGCTGCTGACTCCAGACCTACAGGGAGATGTCAGGGCCTGAAGGTTGGGGTTGGGGGAGACCCATATTTTTAATAAGTTACACATCACATTCAAGAAGTTAGAAAAGGAACAAAAAACTAAAACAGTAAGAGAAGCATGGAAATGAGTAAGGAAAAGAGAAGAAGACAGTAAAATAAAGAAACAAAATTGGCAGGGAAGGTCAACAGAGAAAAAAATTGGCTCTTCAAAAGGACTGATAAAACAGTCCAACATCTGGCATGAAAATCAGGTAGGAAGGGGAGAAGACATAAAGCACGTTGAAATGAAGAGAGAGCATGTGACAAAGGTGGCAGAGACTAAATTAGCAGTAAGAGCGGAGCATAGACAACTCTATGACCGTGTATATGAAACCTAGATAAGATGGCTAGTTTCCGGGGGAGATAGACTTTACCGCATTGAAGCATGAAACTCGAATACACTGACTTCATCTTAAAGATGCTGAACCAACAATTAAACAACTCCCCACCAAAAGATACTAAGATTTTGAAAATTACATCATGACCAAGGGGGTCCTCTCTAGTGCAAAAAGAGTTTTATATTAGAAAACTGAGTAATATGACGATTTATGACACATAAAGAGTTTAAAGGCTGGGGAAAAAAATTGGATGACACGGAACACGGCTTACGAATTCTGAGTCAATCAGGAATAAAAGGCAATTTCCACAACCTGAGGAAGACATCTTCCAAAATCCTACAGCAAATCATCTTAATAGTAAAAGGTTTTAGAAGGTTTTCTTGCCTACTAGTCCCTTAAAAGAAACTACCATTATTCACAATCAAATAACTGTCTATAAGGAAACCCAGGAAAATCTGCAATTCTAAGTTTTTAGAATTAAGAGGAGTGAGGATGTGTGCATGTGAGCGCAAGAGAGAAAAATGGAAAGGTAGGAGGCAATGTTCAAAGATGCCATTTACAAGAGAAACGTAAAAAAACAGGATAAGAACAAATCTAACAAAAGACGTGAAAGATAAATAGAGTGATAATAAAATCCCTTTATTGAAAAGTTATTACAGAAGAGCTACGTCACTGGAGATGTCACCGTGTTCCACAAGATCTTTAAAATGTTTGTTCTCCCTAAATTAATCTGTGAATTCAGGGCAACTCACCCACATTCCAATATGGATTCCCATGTAAATTGACACTGATTCTAAAATTCCTGTGGAAGGAAATGGGGTCTGAATATCAGAAGACTGAGGCTGGGGAATCTGACCTACCAGCCACCCTCCCATGTGAAGCTGGGTTCCCTAAGCCGCTGGAATGCCTGCTCCCAGATGGACACAGAAAAGAGAGTGAAGCCCCCCACACAGGGGAACTTGATGGGGAGGGGGGCAGACATGGTGCCAGGAATAATGGGGGAAAGGATGGGATATGTTGACTGAAATAAAAACCTACAATGGGAGAGCTGCGAGTTTCAGTTTCATTTGGGGTCTTACTAAAGACTATAGCCTGGGAAACAGCATCGCAGTAGCTCTGAGGAACTGTTCCAAAGATGTAGGAGAGGGCAATCAGTATATATGTGATTTTGGTAAAGGGGTACGTACCATTAAGAGCACATCTTGGTAGAAGGTTGCTGCTGGTCACAAGGAACAGGTATCTCAGTTAATGATTTTAGTGTTTTTCTAAGTATGAGACGATGCAAGAATCTGGGTTCATAAATTTTCTCCTGAAAATATCAAACTACCTGAGGGCCGGTTCTGCCTGTTTTCCCAGAGCACAGAGTGTCTCATTCCTGATCTTTGCCTTGAATTCCTTTCAGGGTGTGCTGTAGGTGGAACTGGGTGGTGGGCAACATTCTTTTACAGCTGAAACAGCTGCATATCCACTGAGAACAAAATAAAATAAGCGCTGTCCTCCTTCATACCATCCACCAAAAATCCATTCCTGGTCATTGAAAGACCTAAGTCTGAAAAAGAAAACATTCAAAATTTTAAGAAAACACTATAGGAGAGTAATCAGAAAGTTCTCCTACCAGGGAAAATTTCTTAAATAAGGCATAAACCCCCCCAAATCATAAAACGAAAGATTGATAAATTCGACAAGAATAAAGTTTAAAAAATAAAATTCTCCGCATCGGAAGACACCACGAGTGAAAATGCAAGGCATCTCTCGGGAGGAGATATTTGTGACACACGTCAGTGATGAAGAATTAGTATTCAATGTATACTGTAGGCCCTATGCACCCATGGATTCAACCACCCTCGGACTGAAAGTGCTCAGAAAGGGAAATTCCAGGAAGTCCTCAAAAGCAAAACTAGCATCTGTTGCATGCCAGCAACTATCTACGTCATATTTACAACTAGTTACATAGCATGTATATTGTATTAGATATTATAGATAATGTAGAGATGGTTTGAAGTACGCAGGGGGATGTGCTTAGGTTGCAAACATATCACTGTTTTATATAAGGGACTTAACCGTCCCTGGATTTTGGTATCTGTGGAGTCCTGGGACCAATCCCCCTCAGACACGGAGGATGGATGTATAAGGAACTTTAGGATACCATTAGAAAGGCAAGCAATTGTGTAGAAAAATGGGCCAAGTTGGGAGTAATCAGCTCACAGAAAAGAGAACCTGAGCGATCACAGCAAATGGGAAATCAAATGTAAACTACCACTGTTGCCAGTTCAGACCAACCAGGTGAACAGAACACAGATGTCAGTGAGGGGAAGGAAAGAATGCAGCTAATAAATGCAGAAGGAGGGATAGAACGAGAAAATCTTCATTAATGTGATGCTTGACTGAGGCAAGGGTCATCACTGACATGACTGGATGAAAAATTAGTGGAGTGCAGAATTATTCAGTCTCCAAGTAACACCCCTCTGATGACTTATGTTGACAGAAATACTCAAACAGTCTACAATAGGAATAGAAAAGAATTTCATGTGAGCCAAACTGAGGACTATAGCCCAGAAGATAGCCTCTCAGATAACGCTGAGGGACTGCTCCCAAGAAGCACGGTTTTCAGCACAGTTTTATGTCTTTTTGGAACAAAGAACATCAAACAAGTCAGGGGTACATTCCTTCAAGTTTTCGAGAAAAAACAGATCAGCACGTACACAGTGAGTCAGCATGGCCTGGGCGCCTGGGAAGGGAGTCTTATCATCAAAAGAGGGCTAGCATTGGCATCCCAGGAAGGGAGGCATTTATCTTTATTTTTAACGTGGACATTCTTTACTTCTGGTCAATACGCTCTTTCCTTTAATGATTAAAGCAGACGTACGATGCATGTGTGCTAGGCTGTTTTTCTTAGCATAAAATTCAAGTTAAATCATGTATAAGCCAGAATGATTTCCCCAAACCTGGATATGTGA